TAATCTAACTTCTGCCCCATTACTTAGTTAAAACTACTTTCTGAAAAGTCACCATAAAGCAATGATCCTCAGATCCAGTCTCCTCTTTTTAGTTGTCCTGATCTCTGCTTGTGATAGAATAGATACTCTGCTCTTCAGATGCCTATGTTTGTTTATTTTAGTTTATTTCATTCAATAGATTGTAATGTGCTGACTTCAAATGAATGTTGAAGAGAAAAAGAGTGACATAGATTGATTGATGATAGTGGTAATATTTCTAGTAGTTGTGTGTGAGGCTGAATTATGAACTGATAGGAAAGAGTTGCTTCTAGCTTTTGATTTCTTTAAATGGTTTGTGAAACCCATTTGTATACTGGAAAGGAAATTATAGATGATCTACTATGGATTATTGAAAATTAAATTAATTTTGGTATTTTCATCATTTGAACTATACCACATTTGTGCAATACTTACATTGTACAAAGCCTAAGTGATATTTTTAGATTGAATAATGTAGTGAAATTAGGAGGCCTTGTTTTTTAAAGCATACTCAAATTGGGATTTGTATGTATTTTGTTAGGAGTCTGTAAGTTTCCAATGAGAAGTAAAAATATTTTGTGTTCACATCAGTAATCATCTGAAAATAAAATAGAAACATATTCATTTAGATGACTATTTTATAAACTAACAGTGCTGGGCAATCACAATGTTTATGCTCATGCTTGTTTGACCATATTGGTTCTAGATAGAACTACACTTGCCTAGCATTTGTGAGGCCCTGTATTCCATCCCCCACACTGAGTAGACTGACTGAGATATGTCTAATGCACAAATCATGTATTCATTCCCAGTAGAGGTCCCAATGATGCCACCTCATAGTCTAAATTTTATGGTAGTTCATATTTTATTAGCTAACATGTTTTGAGTGTCTTTTATATGCTTGGCAATGTCCTTCCTGTATGATTATGAATAAAAATTAATACAGGAACATGTGTTTTGAGAGTTTTTAATATTCATGGTAGACCTGTAAGGGTAAATGTGGTTGTTTCACAGATGAGGGTGTCAGAGTACAGAGATACTCATTTTTCCCAGATTTACACAACTTATACGTGTTACAAGTTGGTTTTCATACACATTGTCTGACTCCAAGGCTCCTAATCATTCTTTGTGCTGCCTCACTGCAGAGATAAATACTTGGAGAACTGTGTCATATCCAACACAAAATAAGATAAGCATTCCAAGTTCAAAAGAACATGCATTTTTGGCAGTCAGAACTTTATTCATATTTAGAAGTTGAGATTTTGTTTCAGCAAAACAGCAACTTTTTCCCTTTATGTTAATTTTGTTGCTTGCATAATATATTGGTTTTGTAGTTATGTTTGGAATTATTTTTTAAAATATTATTGTTGTGCTTTTATAAACATTAGTTTGTCCTTATTCTAATAGCATTATAACAAAAATAACACTAAGATTACAGGAGAGATGCTGATATAAGGGATTGCTTTTTAATTTTCTGGAAATTAAAAAAATTTCTATAATGCACATAAATATATACTCATGTATACAAATTCAAAGTTTTATATAAAGTATTGGATTTCCTTAAAGTAAAATAGTATGAGTTAAACTCTCTGTTGTTTTGTGATTTGGATATACTGATTCCAACCTATACAAGTCGTTTGGGTGACATATAGACAGTTTACAGGAACTAATATAGACAATGCCTTGTATGATTTTTTCCTTCTTCTGATCAGGATCTGCTCTCTTGTTACAGGCATGATTTCTCTGTTTGTGGAGTTCTGTAGAATGTTATTACCAAAAAATAGATGGTTTCTTAATCAGAGAAAAATGTAGTAAGAAGAAAAAAGAGTTGCCCATGATTTTGCTGAGATTTGTCTTGATTGAAATGAATTATAATTCCATTTTATAATCAGAATGAAGAATATTATTTTTCTCTTTATAAAAGTTTAATTTGCTTATTTTAACTTAATTTGGCAAGCTTTGCAAATGTAATTCACTTTCATTACATGTCAGAGATTCCACTTGGTGTGCTTTGTTAATCATCTTTAATTTTCTCCAGAGAAGATATTCTTCAATTCAAGAACTATTTATTGAGCACAAGTCACCTCTAGGCATTGTTTTTTTTCATTCTTGATAGCATCATTTATTTTGGTACACATTCCTATGATACTTCAGAACTGGCAAGATTTTATTCAAACATTTGAGTATCTTATATACTTGTTCCAAGATAAATTTATTTCTATAACTATTATGTGGTTGGATTTGTTCTCTTATTTTCTTCTACTATTTTTTTTTTACTTCTAGAAATTTGTTCTGCTTTTTGCAGTCTTCTGTTCATTTACCCTTTTGAATAGCCTGTCAGTGAATGGTAATATGATTGCCATTCTGCACCTGCATAAGACTTTAATATAAAATTATGTTCTGTAACTGAAATAAGGTCTTTCCAATATTTGATAAGATCTTCTGGAATAACTTCTTACTTTAATCTAGAAGTTAATAGGCCCTAAGACACCTAAAATTTTAAAGAAAATATTGTGTATATATTTTTCTTAAGGGAGGTTTCAAACTTTTGTCACATCTATTATATACAAAAGAGTTTAAGGATTAATGCTTAAAAATTTGAAGTTGTACTTCAAAATGTAATCTTAGATAAACTGATTCACTAATAAAGGTTACTGCAAAAGTTGATGATGTGTGGTGTTTTGTGATGCCATTTCTTACACCAAGTATGTTATTCTTTTTCTGATACCAGTAACCAATTTTCCAGCACCAACTAGGTGTCTGACAATTAAATTCAACTCTGACACTAACTGCTTGGAATTAACACAAATTCCACAGGTTAAAGGTTCCATATGAGTGCCCATTTAAGATGCCAGCCACAATTGGGGTGCCCAGGATACTTAAACTAATATTGAGGGAAAGTTTGAAGATTTCCAGAACTCTCCTTCACACTTGATAATTTGCTGTGATAATTCACAAAACTCAGTAAAACCCTATATTTAGTTTTACAGGTTCATTATAAAGGGTACAGCTTAGAAACAACCTAATAGAAAAGATGCATGAAAGGTATGAGGATGAGAATTTCATAGCCTCCATGCTCTCTTCTAGCACACTATGTGTTCACCAACCTAGAAGCTCTGAGAGTCTTGATATTTTAGAGTTTCTGTGGTAATTTCATTGCACAGACCTGATTGATTAAATTATTTCCATTGGTGGTTGAACTGGTTCTCCAGTACCTTTCCCTTACCAAGAAATTTGGAGGTAAAGCTGAAAGTTCTGACCATCTGATAACTTTGTTTATATACCCCCCATTCTGAAGCTGTAGTAGGGCACCTCTTATGGAGCTGTCTTATTTTGCATATAAAAGACAGTAAGTTCCAAAAGTTTTAGGAGCTCTCTGCCTGGAACTAGAGACAAAGACCAAATACAGTATTTTTTAAAAATATGTACTTAAGTTGTATGACTGTGTAGCTTCATATTCTATATAGTGAATCTTACTGAATATTTTTGAATTTAAACATGTTACAGCAAGATTTTTTGTATCTGTACATAATTTTTCTACAAATATTAATCCTCACTCCCCTGTGGGAATTGAACCCAGGGCCTTTGCACTGAGCTTTGTCTCCAAGCCTTTGAAAAATACTTTTTGTCCATGCTTAACTGAACTTGGATTCCCCTTCCTCATCCTTCCATAGTGCTGGGATTATAAGCATGTGCCACCACACCTACCTCCTAAACTTTTAATAAAAATGAATTGATTTAGAAATTTTAAATTCCTCATTTCATTGGAAATCTTTTTAGTGTATATTGTTGGCCTGGTTAGTCATGGAACTAACAGATTGATCACCCAAAGCAAATAATAAATTGGCCTGGGAGGAATATAATTTATTAGATTTAAGTACTCTTTTTAAAAAAGTGTGATTACCCTAAAGGTTTACATCTTCCCTTTTTGGTATTTATATAGGTGTGCTTGAATAACTTTAGGCCTATTGGTCAGAAGGGAGGTAATTTTGCCTCCCACGGGACATAACTGGGAGGTGAGGGCTGGTGTTAGTGTTTAATGGGTTTGTGGTGCCAGGAATGCCAGGATATCCTATACTCCATTGCACAGCAACACTTCCCCTCCTCCAAACAAGGAATTATCTGTGCTAAAATGTCAGTTGTACTAAGGTTGAGGAACTCTTGAGGCCAGTTTGGGAATCACTAGTGTTTAGATGGTTTCTGCAGCTATGGAACTGGATTGAGCTCTTGAGCCTGATTCAACTATTTTGATGCATGAAGAGAAATACTTCTCATTCCTGTTCTCTATCAAATTGTCACTATCCAAATTACCTAAATCTGCTTGTTAGCTAATCTACTATGTGGTTTGGGAAAAAAAAAAACAACCCTAAACTGTCGTCCTAAGCTTTTACATAGAACTTTCCAGAACTTCATTGAAAAGTATTTCTATCTAGGATGAAAAAGTTCTGGAGACTTGCAGAACAGCGTGAAAGTACTTAACACTACTGAACTGTGCACTTAAAACTGCTTGATGATAAATTTTATGTTACCAATATGGTACCAAAAAATAGTATCCAGTTCTTCATATTATCTTAGGCAGTATTCTGTGGTATTTCTCTAGGACTTTTATTCTATTTCTGTTGTTTTTTCTTTGAAGAGGGCTTATGATCTCATAAGTGATTTTTCATTCTTTGCAAAGTGCCCATTAATTTTTTTTGGGGGGTACCGGGGGTGAAACTCAGAACCTTGGGCTTTTGAGGCAGGTGGCACCATTGAACTAAATCCCTGTCCCATGCCCATTAGTTTTTAATATATAAATTATCACTTGTTTTAAAAATTGAAAATTATTGGATGGATTATTAAAGTTAAGTATTTCACTAAATTCTCCATTCAAGGAACTATATATATAGTCATTGCTTATTGAAAAAGAGTGACTTAGTTTCTAATGCTTTTAATATAAAGTTTCTTATGATTTATGTATTGCTTTTCTTTCTTTCTGATAGGCTTTCAAGGATATGCTGTATTCGGCTCAGGACCAGGCACCTTCTGTGGAAGGTAAGATGAATTAATCTTTAGGTTTAGTCACAGAAAACTTATTTTTTAAGGAAACATTTTAAAATATAAAGTATAAAAGCAATATGCTAACTCTCCCTTGCTTTTGGTAATGTGATTGATTATCTTACAGTATTTTAATATTTGTTTTGTTTTGGTCTAGCTCACATTTATCCTAAGGTGGATCTTGTATTATGTCCTTATATCATTTTAGGACTATGATCATATTAGTTTAGTGAAAGTTCTTTTCTGTATTTTACTTCCCTCCCCCATTTTTTTCCCCCCGGTACCAGGGATCGAACTCAGGATCTCATATTTGGAAGGCAGACTCGGTGCCAATGAGCTAAATCTATTTATGCATTGTCTTTAGAATAAGACTAAAGATTGGAGAATATTTACTCTGTGTGTGTGAGTGTGTTAGCAGGCATGTTTATGCATCTGCAGAGTTCGACGGTCATAAAACAGCTAGCCACAGGGCAGTGATTACTTCTCAAATGACCTTTATTGATCTTTCATTTTCCATTACCTCACCTTCTGTTCACCAGTTTATTCTTTATAGGATCAAACTTAAATAGGTTTGGAGATGCTTTTTTAAGTTATATGAGTGCTGGTATCAATAAAAAATTAGGAGCTAACTTAACAATTACTGAGGAAGTGTTTCTTCTGATGCTGGGAACTCTTAAAATTCTGCATCAGACTTTTTCAGGAAAGATGCATGTGAAAAAGTATTTGTCAGGAATTTCTTATTGTGCATCCTGAGTAATATCTTTGTAAAAAGACAACTATATGAGTATTCTATGAAGTCATTCCTGTGACATGCTATTAAAGACCTTTTTTTATGACATACATTTATACATATAGATGCTAAAATTATTTAATAAAATTATACATCTATAAATTTATGTCAAGTTTTTAGTGACATAGCCTTCATCTTGAACCATTTTGAATTAAAAATATGCTTTCTCCTAGCATCTCAAAATCTTATCTCATTATTTTAAGGTAGAGTATTTACGCTTAGATAGTAAATAATGTATCGTTGAATTTTGGATTATAATTATTTATTCTTTGAGTATTTAATTTATGACACTTAAAATTTACCAGAATCTTCAGGTTCTTTATCAGGCTGTCTTATTTTATGTCCCCTAAATAATTCCTCCTTTGAGTATAAGAAAAATAATAATCACATAGAAGTTAAACTGATTTCCTTGCATTAATAATTGTTTTGGTTTTTATTTTATTCTGATCTTCAAGTTTTTAAAAAAGTACTGATCTTCAAGTTTTAAAAGTTTTCTGTTCAGTTTTTATTCAGTTTGTATGTATCTCAAATATACTGAGATATGTTTAAAAGTTATGATGGTATTTATTCATTTCCCTCCATGCTGGAGCATATATGCAGTTATTTTTTTCAGTTACTTTCAATAGTGTGTTAGCTTTTCATTGCTGGGACACAATACCCAACACCTACACCTTAAAAGAAGAGAGTTTTAATTTATCTCAGGATTTCAGAAGCTTTTATTCCAGGGTCAACTCCAAGCAAAAAGGAGTGTCACAGTGGAAGGGCATGCTAGAACCAGACACTTAGTTCCTGGCAGGCAACTGTAAGTAGCGAAGAGGATCACCACTAGAAAGAAAGGGGAAGGAACATAGACCTCAAAGCCACACCTCCACGAATTACCACAAGAGACCCAGAAATGTGCTGCACCAGTCATATGGGTGGATCCTAGGGCCAACAGATGTTTCTTTCACAAACTAAATTTCGGGAGAGTATGCTTAAAATAACAAATACTTATAGTTAAAACTTTTTTCTTTATCTTATTGCCCACAGACATTCACTTCTTTGGACCTGTTATATGAAGATTATTGTAGGCCAGTCATACAGAGTGTATGCAACTTTCACAAGGGAAATACTCTAAGCTTGTTCATTCTTTCTTTGTACTTTCTGTAAACGTACTAAAGTTTTGTAGTTTTTATATTCATAAATGTAACTTTTTCTTTTTTGAAACACTGGAGAGTTGATATAGGAACATGCTTCAAGGAAACATCCTGAGTGGTATCAAAGTTAGAAAAAATTATTAAATTATTATTAATAATTATTAAATTGTTCTGTCATTTGCATTGTGGTTTTATATTAATTTACTATTGTTTATATGGTATTATACTTACCTTTCTATATTTTATCCTTCCTATTTAGTTTGTATTTTTAGGCTTTTGTTTAGCAATGTTTATACGATAGCACATTCAGATTTGTCAGCAAAGTCCAAGATCATACTTAAAGTTTAACTGTTTTAAAGGGAAAATTACTTGGTAGGTTTGGATTATTTTGTAACATTATCTTTCTTACTTTACTTCATTCTTTTTCTTTTTCCCAAGTTTTGGCAGACTTAAAGCTTTTGGTGCCAGAGACCAAGTTGTCTTTTTAAATTTTAAATAAATGGTTCCCAGATCTGCCTCACATTTGACTCACCTGAGGGTCTTTATAAAAAGAAACAAACAAAAATCACCTCAAATACTGGTGGTTGGCTTCTATATCAGACCAATTAAATAGGATTGGAGGGAGGTAGAACACAGTCATTGATACTGATGCCTGGTATTGGCATTGAAATTTTTAAAAATTTCTCCTGGTGATTCTAATGTATAACCATCTAACCAAAGTATAGTACCTCTGTCATAAAACTTAAATAATTTTAGGTCAATATGTTAATACTTACCTTTTGGATATTAATTATCCAGTAGGTTGATAGGCTTCTTAAGTTGATTGATCATTTGATCATATTACTAGTACAAGGGAGCATTTTTTTCTTGTATACAGAGGATGTTTAATTTAAAAATAGTTATTGTACTGAATTAATTATAAGTAATAACCATACCAAGTTATGTAAATATGTTAAGTGGTTACAACTTACTGTTAGGATTAAAGGACATTTTTAATGACTTCTTTCTTTATGATGGATTCTAATAAGATAAGTAGCTTCCTCAAATTTTGCTCTCTTGAGTGTGAATGATTAGAAATAAATAGATTCTTAGAGTGAAATGGTTTGATAAAAGTATTAGTTAAAAGGAATGATATGAAGTCTTTTGCTAAGAAGTTGCATCTAGACACTGTTTCTTTACTGGTGAATTGTTTTTTCATCTAATTTGGAACATTTTAAGATGGTGCCTTTTTCTTCATGATAAAGTATGCTTTTGTCTAAGTCAACCAAAGTAATTTCAATGAATTTAAAAATTAAGGAGTGTTTAAGTTGTTTTCATTACTCAGATAAACACATTCAGATTCATGGTTATTTTGTTTCATCTTTGAAAAGTTAATTTCATGAATCAGTTATATATTATAATCTAAAAATTTATTTTAAATGTCTTATATTGTAAGTAGGATGTACTAATATTCTGAAATAATATTGATTGAATGTTTAAAGATTTACTCTCAGGCATTCTGTATCTATCTATATTTGATCTTCATCGGTATATGTCATTACTCCATATAATCTGTTATTTTTGTTTAACTATTTACATTTGGAAATAATATGAGTGGGGTGCTACAAATTCTGTTAGAGATGATATAGAATATTGATTTTAAATAATGATATAAAAATATTTTTTTCTACTTATTTTCTTAATCCTTGTCTACAGAAAGTCTTACAGATACAAAATCCACGACAGTAGGATAGGGTATTGAAGTAACTAGAATTGGGCAATTTTCTGTTGTTGTTTTTGTTTTTGTTTTGTTTTAATGTGAAAGGACAAACATAGACCTGAGTCTGTGGAGTTAAACTTTCACAGAATGATGTTCTAATTTAGAGGACGTTTTGGGAAATGATGCTAAAAACCTTTAAAGTATATTGTGTTTTGTTTTTTTCTTTTTGGTGTCTATGTCAGGAAGATATTGCTTTATTGGTATTTATGACAGATTAAATTAAGCTGCAAACTACAGGTTCCCTTTCAGTGAATCAGTGACACCTTAATAATCAGAAATTATTCTGAGGCAAGGTAAACCACTAACCATATCCCCAGCCCTAGAACAGCTCTTAATTGCACTAGTCATTTGACATTAGAAACATTAAATTTTCGTGATACAGGATAGTAGAAAATAAAAACATATTTTCATCTTTTCTCATGATTTCCCCCCCATGGAATATCAGATACATAAAATTTATACAATATCATTAATTTATTTTTAGTTTTTACCCAGAATTAATTTCAAAGAAAGTTTTAAACTTCATCTTTCCATCTTTTTAAAATTTTCTTTTCTTTTTTTGAGACAGGGTCTCATTATATAGTTGAATTTTTATGTGTAGTTCAGGCTAGCCTCAAACTCGTGGTGATCCTATACCTTAGCCTCCTGAATGCTGGGATTATAGACATGCACCACCATGTATGACTTTATTTAGAAAGTTTATTGTCTGCTAATGTTTATTTGTAATAGAACAGTACAAGAAACTAATGATCAATGTAAGTCATAGAATTTTATTTATTTTTTATTTTTTAATTTTTTTTTTTTACTCATGAGTTTATTGGTACATTTTAGGTATACAGTACAGTTACATTCATTATTGAGATTTTGTACCTTTACATGACAGGTCTTGATTCTCATTTGTTCCCCTTGTCCCTGCCCTCCCTTCCCCCCTTCCCCCTCCCCCTTTACAAACACTTCATTTCCATTTTTTCATTTTCTCACACTTTTTTCTTTTCCCTTATTAGCTTTCCCCTATCCGTCCCACTTTCCCCTCACCTTTAGCCCCTTTCTTCCTATTTCACATTGTCAATTATATCATTAGGATCTATGTACTATTATAGTTTATTCACACCAGAGAAACTATTCGGTATTTACATTTGTGACTTATTTATTTCACTTAGGAGTATATCCTCAATATGTATCCATTTTCCTATGAATGAATCTAATTTCTCATTCTTTATGGCTGAGTAATATTTCATTTTATAGAAAAACCACATCTTCTTTATCCAGTTTCCAACTGATGGGCAAATGAGCTGTTTCCAAGTTTTAGCTT